CATCATTAGTTCTAGATGGGTGTGCCAAGATAGCTTCTAGTCAACTACAACTCCCAAATACTTGTATTGTTAACTTTGGTAATGGTTTTGCAAGAGCAATTTATTCGAAGGTTGTTACAATCATGAATTTGAATTTTTAAATTGTGTTCAGGTTGCGTTGAATTATATTTTGTGAATGCTATGTAGCTTGTTTTCTCCGTATTCAATGTTAAGAGGTTTGATTATAACCAGTTAGCTACCCTGACTAGCCCTTCATCCGTGACTTGACGTACGGAATCCCAAGTATTTATTTACTTAAAAGAAATCCTCATTCACAACACTGCTATGTAAAAACTCTGATACTGAATAAATTATTTGATTTGATTTGATTTAATTCAAGTTTGATCAATTAATTGCAAGTCATTAACATCGGTACCAGAAAATCTTCTATATGTATCTGTATGCTTATGTTATGAAACGAAAGCAGAAATTTATGTTGAGAGCCGAGTAGAGAGTACTCTTAGAGTTGATTCTATGAGATTATAACTAATGTTCTTTCAACCTGCAAAGTCGTCCGCTAAAATTCGGATTCTCCCGGTTTAAAGAAATTTAGTTCCAAAATGTGATCGAGATCATAACACCGCTATCTATCTAAAACTTCTAGATTTTTCTGGCTGCCGACAAATCTCTTACCTCTTGCGGCAAATGTGGCGATGGATTCTCAAGCTGTCACTACACGACCAAACTAGGAATTATATGCACAAATATATAAAAATCAGATTTGGTCAGTAACAAAAATTTATTTTATTTTAATGAAACAGATTTCAGCCATATTGGTTCGGTCATTGTTGTGCTCTAAACAATTTCGTTCATATCAATTTACATCTATAATTACAGTTAATATAACAAATCCGGTATCACGTCATTTTTAAATAGCTTATTATTAAAACATATGTACATAACATCGAATAAGTACGAGACATTCGTTTCATATTCGTAGTTCAGACAAAATGTGTGCACGGTTTATGAAAGTCAGCATTTTTATTTTAATATGTGCGGGATTGACTTTTGTAAGATTTCTTTCTTTTTTTAAAGCTTGAAACCTATAAGTAGTTAAATATTTTTAAGAGACATCATCACCATCATTACAGCCCTTCACAAGTCCACTGCTGAACGTAGGCCTCCCCTAAGTAACGCCACAAAGCTCGGTCCTGAGCCACCTGCATCCATCGACTTCCTGCATGTCTTACCAGTTCGTCACTCCATCTAGTGGGGGGTCGCCCTACACTACGCCTACCGGTACGAGGCTGCCACTCGAGAACCTTTCTTCCCCATCGGTTATCGGTTTTTCGAGCTATATGGCCGGCCCATTGCCACTTCAGCTTACTAATACGTTGGAATATGTCGGTAACTCTGGTTTTACTGCGGATATCCTCATTTCTGAGTCTATCACGCAGAGTAACTCCGAGCATAGCCCTCTCCATAGCTCACTGAGCGACCGTGAGCGTCCTCATACGGCCAGCAGTGAAGGACCACGTCTCAGATCCGTAAGTCATCACTGGCAGTCACGGCCTGACGAGAAGATGTGTCGTAATTTCTCGAACGCTGCCCAGCCGAGTTGAATCCGTCGATTGACCACTCGGTCGAAGTTGGACTTACCTAGTCGGACTATTTGTCCCAGGTAAACGTACTCGTCAACAACTTCGAGCATAGTTCTCCCAACAACTACCGGCATAGGTGTGACATGGACATTAAACATGATCTTTGTTTTGTCCATGCTCATCTTAAGACCTATCCGTTGGGAGACACTATTGAGGTCATTGAGCATAGTGCTAAGGTCCTCCAGCGATTCTGCCATAAGGACTACATCGTCGGCAAATCGAAGGTGAGTGATGTACACGCCATTGATGTTAATACCGTATCCTTTCCAGTCCAGTAGTTGAAAACGTCTTCCAACGCAGCGGTGAAGAGTTTCAGGGATATAACGTCACCCTGTCTTACACCTCTCTGCAGTTGGATAGGTTTCGAACTCTGGTTCTGTACTCGGACAGCCATCGTAGCCTTAGTGTACAAACACTTCAGCAATTCGATATACCGACAGTCAACTTGGCATCGCTGAAGGGACTGAACCACCTCCCAAATTTCAACGGAATCAAAGGCTTTCTCATAGTCCACATACGCCATTCAAAGTGGCAGATGGTACTCTTCGGACTTATGTACAATCTGCCCAGGGTATGTATGTGATCTATGGTACTGAAGCCTTTTCGGAAACCGGCTTGTAGGGAGGCTGGAAGTCGTCGAGTCTGCGTGCGAGACGATTCGTAATGACTCTCGAAAACAGCACGTAGACGCGGCTCAGAAGGGAAATCGGTCTGTAGTTATTCAAGAGAGCGTTGTCGCCTTTCTTAAAGAACAAGACCACCGCAGTTCCGCTCCACGCCTCCGGAGTAGTGCCACCATGGAGGACGGAATTGAAGAGCTTCTGAGGAAATAGAAATAGAAGTAGAAACTTTTTTATTCAATGTAGATTATAAAAATACTTATTGAAAGTCACTTTTTTAATTTACCACTTACAGGGACTTCAAGTACCGGTGTACCACCCGCTTTCAGAAGCTCCGCTGTAATTCCATCCTCGCTTGGGGCCCTGCCGTTTTTAAGGTGCTGGAGAGCCATTCTAATCTCGCTCACACTGACGTCCGGGATATAATCGGAATAGTGTCGGGTAAGACTTGCTCCTGGATCGTTACTCACACTTGCGTGTGGCTCCAACGATGATGTGTACAGCTGCCCATAGAACCTCTCAATCTCACTCAAAATCTCAGGTGTCCCGGAAACGATGCTGTCACACTCAGTCTTCAGCTTTGACAGTTGGCTTTTTCTGGCAGACAGATCTCTGACAAAGACTTTGGAGCCCTGGTTCCGCTCGATCGCTTCTTTAATACGAGCAGTATTAAAGTTGCGTAAGTCTTACCGCATGCATTTGGAGATATGTCTGTTCAGTTGCCTGTATGCTGTGAAATTTGTTGACGATTGCAGCCTCATCTCCCGTCTAACAGCCATGATATTAAGAGTGTGATCGGAGAGTTTTTGTGTTCTTCTGCGGCGGGTCTTGCAGAACTTAGCTCCGACCGCATGAACAGTTTCCACGAGCTTGTCATTCATATCGTCCACTGCATTGCAATCTTCTAGGTACTGAAAGCGGTTACGTAACTCGAGCTGAAAGGTTTCGGGATTCTGGATTAGAGCACGAGGGGGACGGAGCGTTAACTTCATTAGACGAGACCTCTCCAACTTAACGTTTAGGTTCAGTGTGCCTCTAACCATTCGGTGATCGCTGCCGGTTTTCACCCTTGCGATCACTGAGACACCAATATCAATGAACAGTTGGCGTCTGGTCGTCATAATGAAGTCAATCTCATTTTTTGTCGAACCGTCGGGGCTCGACCAGGTTCACTTCCTGTGGGGCCACTTCTGGAAGAAAGAGTTCATCATAAAGAGTCCCTCTTTCTCCATAAAGTCAGCCAGCTGCTGGCCCCTACGGTTCCGTTGCCCTACTCCAAATTTCCCTAACTTCAGCTCACCGCCTTCTCTTTTGCCTAGTTTTGCGTTGAAGTCTCCCATCAACACCGTGTAGTGGGTTTTGGAGGAATGCATGGCTCTAGAAATATCCTCATACATTTCCTCCACCTCCTCATCGGGATATGCCGAGGTTGGTGCGTAGACCTGTATGACCTTTAGCTAATACCGTTTGGTGATTCTGAGTATCAGGTAAGCGACCCTCATCGACACACTCTCAATATTTACAACGTTGTTGACGAGAGACTTGTGGACGATAAATCCGACACCTCCTTGGGATAGATGGTCGCCTTCCCGGTGATAGAACAAGTTGCCGGACTCGAGGATTACCGTGTCATCCCCCTCTCTTCGGACCGCAGATAATCCAATAATATGCCAGCGCAACTTGTCTACCTCTTGTTCCAGCTCCAGTCCAGTCAGTCCTCAGGGTGCGTGCGTTATACGTTACCAGGTCGAGTCGTCGTAGGTGGCAACCGAACTTCCATCGGAGATTCTTAGCACCCCCTGCCCCGCCGTAACCATGGTCGCCACCATAGCCAGGAATAGCGGGGCCGCCGGGGACTGGGGGCCGTTTGCTTGTGTCGTTGCTCATATATACCCCATATTTTCCATAGTTGCCACGCTTGGCAAGCGGGTTGGCAACCGCAGTTTTTTATTATGTTATTGTTGTTATTAGGAAGATGCTGCTGCCCATCTCCTTTCTGTGTCCCTCTGTCGCCTCTTACGACACCCACGGGAAGATGTGGGGTAGTGGATATTCTCAACCGCCACTACACGGCATTTTTAAGAGTATTTAGAATTAACCAATGTTGAGTTAAAATTGGATGTAATTACGCAGAAAAAATCCAACCCACATCGAGTCAAAAATAACTTGTACTTTACGTCTTTATTTTCTTATAGTAATTATAAATACATTGAATGAAGCCTATATTAGTTTTTCTTAAATTATTAAACACAGAACCAAAATTTAAACGTCGAAAGTTGAATTTTTCTTCAGTAACTACATCTTAATGTAACTGACTAATAAGATTAAATTAACATAATATACCGAGAACATAAACCCCCACGCGTGTCACAGAAAGGCAGGAGTACACTCATCTTCAAAACATCTCCAGTTTGGTCCCTGCTGGCTTCACCACTCATATCTGCACAATCTTTGTCACTATTTACGCATACATTCTTAATATGAGTCCTAACCACCGAAGCATTTTTTTCTTAATCCTGGTCGCAAATTCTCTTTGCAAACCACATTTTTCTCTTAAAACACACATTCTTATCCGGTGATACTCAGCTGTTTTATATGCTTTCAAGCTTGTCATTGCTCTCATTATTTCATCCATGCTTAACTCGTAATGGAGGTAGGTAGTCATTCTTTTTTTGCGGAGTTTCTGGTTTATCTACTTTTGATGTCTCCTCACATTTGAACACGATTTCAAAGTTTTGCTTCCATATCTTTTAACTATTTTCTCTTTTTATTTTTAAGAATGCATCCGCCATAGTCTCGCACAACATGTAATGTATTAGATTGTTTTAATCTTCAGTCAAATCTAGTAGTAAAATCCTGAGTTTCCCCTGACAGTTCTGACGAGAAACCCTTTTTGATATTTGTCATAGAATCATCAGATAGTCCGCTATCATTCCCTCGTGTCCTTTCTTCTTATCATATAATCCACAAAATTAAATCTCGAGCTCAGGTTCTAAGAGAATAGGCAGGTTGCAACATTATTACTATAAAAATTGACAACATCATCATCTCGTATTCTACTGTAAACAGCTCCTCAAAATTTAACGGTTATTTTAAGAACACTATATAGGAAGGATTATGGTATATCTGTATGTTTTTTTAGTTTTTTTATGCTATTTTTTATTTATTTTTTTATATTTATGGATGTTTAGTAAAGGCGGTATAACTTAGCAGTTTTAGTTATTATGTTGTAATCACAAGTTATTTTATTAGAATTAATTTAAAGAAAAAAATAAATTTGAACGCCGTCCGCGTACCCCATTGGAGCGAACCAACAACCAACCAACAGTTCTCAAACATCTCAGTACTATAATTGAATAGCAGTCCTAAATTTAGTCCAGTCATAAATTTAGTGAACACCTATGAAAGTTTTTACAGTCTACCTACATTTGTTAAAAATTTTCAACGAAATCAGTCAATGTGTTTTTTTGTTTAGGTTTATGAACTATACAAGAATAAGCTAGTAACATGATTTCATTTTTCAGGGCCTGAAGGTGATTTTTGAAAGAACCCGAATAACGTACTTAAACGAAGAATATATACAATGTGCATTCTTAAACGTGTCACGATACGAGAGAAAAGGCGACTATTACATTAATTTAGAATTTATATCGAAATACCCGTTCTCCAAAAATGTAATGGTTGGTATGCAATATGTATATTTTTATATAATATATATTAAGTCTTATAAATTAACATAGGGCTGTCTTGTAACTACACTACTGAACAGCTTACATTACAAGGCAAAGCAATAAATCAACCCAGATAACATTACGACTACAACTGCGAGCGAGCGTACAGATTAGTTCTTTATTTTGTAGACCGCGAACGTTGATTTCGACAATCTAACGCTGAATTTGTTAATGTGACTAAGAAAACGCGAAACACTTTGTCAACAGTTTGAAGTTTATGTCAGAAATATATGTAGCTTTATTTCGTCTTTGTCTCAAAGTAACTGTCGGAAATGTAAATACAACTACATAACCAGATGTCAGATGTCTTTAAATTATTTTAGATATAGGTAAAAAGATATAGGTAATAGGTTGCCGTGTAGTGGCGGTTGAGACTATCCACTACCCAATATCTTCCCGTGGGTGTCGTAAGAGGCGACAGAGGGAGACAGGCAGGAGATGGGCAGCAGCATCTTCCTAATAACAACAATAACATAATAAAAAACTGCGGTTGCCAACCCGCTCGCCAAGCGTGGCAACTATGGCAAATATCCCCCCATGAATAACAACGCAAAAAAACGACCCTCAGTCCCCGGCGGCCCCGCAATTTCTGGCAACGGTGGCGACCAAGGTAACGGCGGGGCAGGGGGTGCTGACTATCTCCGGTGGAGGTTCGGTTGTCACCTACGACGACTCGACCTGGCAACATATAACGCACGCACTCTGAGGACTGACGAGAAGATACTGGAGCTGGAAGAAGAGGTAGACAAGTTGCGCTGGCATATTATTGGATTATCCGAGGTCCGAAGAGAGGGGGAGGATACGGCAATCCTCGAGTCCGGCAACTTGTTCTACCACCGGGAGGGCGACCATCTATCCCAAGGAGGTGTCGGATTTATCGTCCACAAGTCTCTCGTCAACAACGTTGTAAAGATTGAGAGTGTGTCGACGAGGGTCGCGTACCTGATACTCAGAATCACCAAACGGTATTAGCTAAAGGTCATACAGGTTTACGCACCAACCTCGGCACATCCCGAAGAGGAGGTGGAGGAAATGTATGAGGATATTTCCAGAGCCATGCATTCCTCCAACACCCACTACACGGTGTTGATGGGAGACTTGAACGCAAAACTAGGCACAAGAGAATGCGGTGAGCTGAAGGTGGGGAAATTTGGAGTGAGGCAACGGAAACGAAGGGGCCAGCAGCTGGCCGACTTTATGGAGAAAGAGGGACTCTTTATGATGAACTCTTTCTTCCAGAAGCGGCCCCACAGGAAGTGGACCTGGTCGCGCCCCCGACGGTTCGACAAAAAATGAGATTGACTTCATTATGATGACCAGACGCCAACTGTTCAGTGATGTCTCAGTGATCGCAAGGGTGAAAACCGGCAGCCATCACCGAATGGTTAGAGGCACACTGAACCTAAATGTTAATTTGGAGAGGTCTCATCTAATGAAGTCAACGCTCCGTCCCCCTCGTGCTCTTATCCAGAATCCCGAAACCTTTCAGCTCGAGTTACAAAACCGCTTTCAGTGCCTAGAGGATTGCAATGCAGTGGACGATATGAATGACAAGCTCGTGGAAACTGTCCATGCGGTCGGAGCTAAGTTCTGCAAGACCCGCCGCAGAAGAACACAAAAACTCTCCGATCACACTCTTAATCACATGGCTGTTAGACGGGAGATGAGGCTGCAATCGTCAACAGATTTGACAGCATGCAGGCAACTGAACAGACAGATCTCCAAATGCATGCGGCGAGACTTACGCAACTTTAATACTGCTTGTATTAAAGAAGCGATCGAGCGGAACCAGGGCTCCAAAGTCTTTGCCAGAGATCTGTCTGCCAGAAAGAGCCAACTGTCAAGGCTGAAGACTGAGTGTGGCAACATCGTTTCCGGGACACCTGAGATTCTGAGTGAGATTAAGAGGTTCTATGGGCAGCTGTACACATCATCGTTGGAGCCACACGCAAGTGTGAGTAACGATCCAAGAGCAAGTCTTATCCAACACTATTCCGATGATATCTCGGACGTCAGTCTGAGCGAGATTAAAATGGCTCTCCACCACCTTAAAAACGACAAGGCCCCGGGCGAGGATGGAATTACAGCGGAGCTTCTGAAAGCGGGTGGAACACCGGTATTTGAAGTCCTTCAGAAACTTTTCAATTCCGTCCTCCATGGTGGCACTACTCCAGAGGCGTGGAGCAGAAGCGCAGTGGTCTTGTTCTTTTAGAAAGGCGACAACGCTCTCTTGAAGAACTACAGACCGATTTCCCTTCTGAGCCGCGTCTACGTGCTGTTTTCGAGAGTCATTACGAATCGTCTCGCACGCAGACTCGACGACTTCCAGCCTCCCGAACAAGCCGGTTTCCGAAAAGGCTTCAGTACCATAGACCACATACATACCCTTCGGCAAATTGTCCAGAAGTCCGAAGAGTACAATCTGCCACTTTGCCTGGCGTATGTGGACTATGAGTAAGCCTTTGATTCCGTCGAAATTTGGGCGGTGCTACAGTCTCTTCAGCGGTGCCTAGTTGACTATCGGTATATTGAAGTGCTAAAGTGTTTGTACAGTAGGCAACGATGGCTATCCGAGTACAGAACCAGAGTGCGAAACCTATCCAACTGCAGAGAGGTGTAAGACAGGGTGATGTTATATCCCCGAAACTCTTCACAGCTGCGTTGGAAGACGTTTTTAAGCTACTGGACTGGAAAGGATACGGTATTAACATCAATGGCGTGTACATCACTCACCTTCGATTTGCCGACGATATAGTCCTTATGGCAGAATCGCTGGAGGACCTTAGCACTTTGCTCAATGACCTCAATAGTGTCTCCCAACGGATAGGTCTTAAGATGAACATGGACAAAACAAAGATCATGTTTAATGTCCATGTCAAAACCTATGCCGGTAGTTGTTGGGAGCACTATGCTCGAAGTTGTTGACGAGTACGTTTACCTGGGACAAATAGTCCGACTAGGTAAGTGCAACTTCGACAGAGAGGTCAATCGACGGATTCAACTCGGCTGGGCAGCGTTCGGGAAATTACGACACATCTTCTCGTCAGGTATACCTCAATCTCTGAAAACTAAAGTGTATAACCAGTGCGTGTTGCCAGTGATGACTTACGGATCTGAGACGTGGTCCTTCACCGCTGGCCGTATGAGGACGCTCAAGGTCGCTCAGCGAGCTATAGAGAGGGCTATGCTCCGAGTTCCACTGCGTGATAGACTCAGAAATGAGGATATCCGCAGTAAAACCAGAGTGACCGTCGTAGCCCAACGGATTAGTAAGCTGAAGTGGCAATGGGCCGGCCATATAGCTCGAAGAACCGATAACCGATGGGGAAGAAAGGTTCTCGAGTGGCAGCCTCGTACCGGTAGGCGTAGTGTAGGGCGACCCCCCAATAGATGGAGTGACGACCTGGTAAGACATGCAGGAAGTCGATGGATGCAGGTTGCTCAGGACCGTGCTTTGTGGCATTACTTGGGGGAGGCCTATGTTCAGCAGTGGACTTGTGAAGGGCTGTAATGATGATGATGATGATGATATAGGTAATTCCAATAAATAGCCAAACTGAAAATAGATTCAGCATATATTTGCCATAGTAACCATTTACGCCATCACTGTAAGGCACTGTATAGTTTAAGCACAGCCTAAGAAAAACATACAGATGTACTGTTAGTTATTGCGTTTGATGTTGTCGGAGAACCTGATATAAACAATAAATTGCCAGGGTTGTCAGAACGGGAAGTAATAAAAAAATAAGAAACTGGCTGTATGTACGTACGCTTTTAACAATCACTTCATCACTTTAAAAAAAATACAACAAAACCGATCTTATAGTAAATTTGGCCCTTTTAATAAAATAAAATGTGCTTAAAAATTTTCTGAGCAGACGAACTGGTGGCATACAGTGCAGTGCTGGCATGTTCACGTGTCATTACTGCATTACTACCGCAATGTTTGGCAAAGTTTTATATAAACGTAAACATTCGTCATCCTTTCTCTCATGACCAATTTGGGGCGAAAGATTATCCGTTGCCATTACAGCCTATTAGAGTTTATTGCTGAATATAGGCCTCCCCTATAGATTGCCTCATGAGGAAGATATTTGCCATAGTTGTCTCGTTTGACAAGCGTATTGGCAACCGCAGTTTTTTTAAATTTTAAGTCGTTATTAGGAAGACGCTGCTACCCATCTTCTGATTTGCTCCCTCTTTCGCCTCTTACGGCACCCGTGGGGTGATATAGGGTAGTGGATATTTTTACACCGCCACTACGCCCCTACATTGAAAGTTTATTCAAAAACACTAAATCTAAATAATCATGCCCACTTTCCCTACATTGTACACTACAACTACAACTAGTCTTGTATAAATACAATTATTGTTTATAATAACATAATATAATATCATTTTTTCACTTAGAGGCCAGAGAAAAATGCTATTTAGTAAATAAGTTTTTGAGGTTATAACAGCTATCAGATGAGTTCTGTACACTTATTTTTCATTCCATACTATAGTATAAAATTACAAAAAATCGTATCTTATCATAAATTAATAAGTTATATAAAAGCAATTGGTTATTTTGAACATTCATAAACCACATGACGAATGAACAAGTTTTTCGTAGTCTGAAACGGAACGTGTAAAACGCGTTTTTTATATATTTTGGCATGGCGTCTGAGCATTTGAGCCATTGTAAAATACGTTTCGTCACCAAAAGTCTATTGAGAATGATAAACATAGTAACATTGCTTTTTTCCTGGCTTTATTTGAAAATTCAATTATGCGATACGCAATAAGCAAAAAATGTGCAATTTTGTAAGATATTTTACATCACTAGCCGCGTTAGAAAATTTTCTAACGCGTCTAGTGATGTAAAATATCTTATGGCTATTGCCAGCATTACAAGGGTGAGAGTAGTCAAAGTCTAAATTATTTATTCCGTTTAGACTTATGTAAAGCTCTTGGCGACTGTGAACTTTAAAAGACTATTTAATATCACGTGCTATTTTACCAATGTGTTCCTTTTCCTTACAGATACATCTGCTGTTTTTCGAATTTGTAAGCTACAAGTACGAGCGCAGTTTCATAGAGTTTCATTACAATTTATGCGATTTTCTGATGGATCCGCTGATCGGAGCAGAGTTTAAAAAGCAAGGATTAGAATGTCCGATTATACCTGTAAGTCATCATCATCATCATAATTACAGCCCATCACAAGTCCACTGCAGAACATAGACCTGCATCCATCGACTTTGTATATCTCTATACCGGGTGCTGACTTTTTAAAAGGGGGGGGGTGGTGGTGTTGTTATTCGAGAGCCTTTTCTTTATGTAGTTATGGTGACAAACGAACACACAGTCTACCTATTGGTAAGTGAATGCCGTGCCGTGTACGTAGATATTTATATTTATTCTCGATTAAGAATCAAAATTCAAAAGCGCTATCACCCCTGAGGACTAACTAAGATAGAATATCCTTGTTTTAAGTAAAAAGGGTATACTCAGCATACGAAACCCAGCATCATGTAACTGCTTTTTTACGCTGGTACTCCGTGAGAGTGTGGTCCTACTCCTGTCGAGCCGACCCATTCGTGTTACAAGCATAATACGGCTGCAGCGTGGTGGTTTTATCTAATCAAGTTGATTTTATCACCATCTTTGGAAAGCCATTACATTTTTTTGGCATTTCTTTCTTTCATTCACTGTACTGAGGTGATGGATTGTCTTACATCGCAATTATAAAATACGTATCTAATACCTTTAAACGAGCAATTCTTGTGTATATATGATAAGATTCCAATTATATATAATTGGAATCTCGGAACGGCTCCAACGATTTCCATGAAATTTAGTATGCAGGGGGTTTCGGGGGCAATAAATCGATCTAGCTAGGACTGATTTTTGGAAAATTTCGTTCTATGCATGTTTTTAGGCAATGAAAAACTGCTAAAATATCTTAGAATACGAAAGTAAATTTTGCCGGAGCCTGAAAGGTTATAACAGCTCAAATGAGATATCGGGCGGTGCTGAAATCATAGAACGCCGGTTCGATTCCAAAGGTCTCCAGTGTGACTCTTTTTCCTTTTTTCCTTCTTTTGTGAGAAAATATTTTTAGCCCTTTTTTTAGTATACTTTTTTAAACACAAAAAATAATGATCGAGAAGATCGAAAACTTTTATTCATATTTCATCAGTTTATAATTTGTATCAAATATAATTTACAAAAAAAAACACGATTTCCAAAAAAACAAAACTAAGTAAAGCTCGGTCATCCTGTTAATTTTGTTGAAAATGGTAGCTAACATGTATATTTAATTGCAGGGCAAATTATACTCTTACAAGAATTTTACAGTACATTTGGACGACTTTCCCAACGTCTTCCCATTTGAAAAGGGTTTAATCAAGATCGAAATACGCTTGACGGATTCTAATAAAACACACATAGCAGAAGCATTTCTTCATCTTTCATTCAAAAATAAAAATAAAGGCACAAAACGTAATTTAACTATGAAACTCTGAAATTTCCTCAATGAAATAAAGACTTAAAAAAGTATTGTTTTGATTTTATTTTTCCTCTACGTATTCTCGACGTACCTATATAAATAAAATTTCGACTTAATGCGTGTCAGGCTACGCACAGTGCAGAGATAAGGTCCCGCGGTTGCCCGTCACAATACGTGAACTTAGAAAGGGTCTTTTTGATACCACTAACTGAGTCCACGATTTGACCGCTATTATGACTAAAATGCGTCCAGATAGAACGATGATAGCTGCAGGACCTATTTTCTAAGGAGACTTATAGAGACTGGTATTCAAAAGAGAATAAAAAATATTTCGATTTTGGAAATAACACAATCAATATCAAAAAATTTACAGGCCAAATATAAAAATGGTCATAGTTATTTATCAATCTATTAGACTGCGGCAGTGCGACTCCTGCGATGTGTACGATTGTAACGAAACTTCCCGTATACTACTACTGTCCTAAACTATCCTAAGGGTCGGCCGTGTAAAACTAGAGTACCACAATTGAAACTGTAGGCCTACAATAACTACTAACCAAAAAAAATTGAGAAAGTGGTATGTCAGGATCGATCCTTTCTGCCTACCCCACAAAAGAAAACATAAAGCTATCGGTGTAATGCATAAGTCGTATTCTTCAAAAAAATTATTTAATACAGTTTAAAACAACATTACAATGTAATAATGCAGCCAGTTTTAGGCCATTTTCTATGGAACGATAACGAAATTTTTGCTAATTCAAGTGCATTTCGTAAGTTGGTCGACTATTACTCGTTAACTCGTTAAGCCTACTTAGCTGTGATAGTTTTCCTTTTAACTTCATTATATTATAAGTGTACTACCATCGTTCGATACTTTTAATCTTTTATATTTACAAAATCAGCGGGTTCATTGTGTGAGTGTAGTGTAGTGAGGGAGGAGGGGGGGGGGGGCTTGATTATAATAAATAATACCGTTTAAAGCTAAATATTTCGCCAACGTAACCCTTCAAACGAAAAAAAATTGTTCTATACCCCTCAATATTTTTGAAGACTAATCCAATACGATGAAATAGACAAGTAAGAAAAAATCACCTGCATGGGGTACCCACTTGTGTACCCAAAATAAAAATGTTTGTCAAGATTTTATTTCGTAACTTTTTAAGCGTAATTAATACCTATAACTATATCAAATTGCAGCTTTGTATTCTCTAAATAATACCGCAGAGGACAGACGGACATGCAGACGAACGAACATGGGTGTTAGCGACGAAAAGTGAATCTAATTGCTTATTTCCATTTTATTCTTATTTGTAATCAGAAACTACGTAAAGACTGTTAGTGTTAGTAATGAAAAGTGAATCTAATTACTATTTTTACTACTTTATTCTTCTTTATAATCTATAAAACTACATTAGAAATGCTAGCAACGAAGTGTAAATTTAATCACTTGTTTAATTCTGTTTTTATTGTAATTTAAAAACTACGACAATACGTGATTTAACTACTTGTATAATTTCTTTTTCTATCTTAAAAATAGATCTTAGTCAATAAGAAAATTTAAATGTATTCTGCATAAAGTCTTAACATTAAGCGTAATGTTGTTTAATGATTTCATATATTATTAATATTTGATTTCATATATTTTACAAGAACACTATACATTGATTAAAACTACTTTTACGGATTTTATCGCGTTTTATTTATATTAATTTTAATACCCGACGTTTCGGGTGCTTTCCAGCACCCATGGTCACGGGGGACTGAGGTGACTGACGTCCCGATGTCAAAGTTAACCCGGAGTACCTTCAGCTTTTTAATTATTGTTTTTGGTCCGATCTACGCAGAATGAACTAACTGTATTTTGAAGTCTTGCAGTGGTATGCTTGGGTTTAGTTTTAATTTTATTATTTATAGGATCCCAAGCAGGTGGTAGTACCCAGCCTCCTTCTCTATTGAAATTAGGATGTTTTCTAATTTCAATAGCCTCAGGTATCATCCTTGGCAGGAATCGATGTTCTTTCGCGAGGATTTGTGGTCTATCAAATCCGATGTAGTGGTTGGGGCCATCTAGAATATGATCGCAAACTGCAGACTTCCCGGAACGTTGACGCTTCACGTCAGCTATGTTTTCTTTTACACGGGTTCTAATTGATCTCTTTGTTTGCCCTATATATGAGAGACCACAATCACAATCAAGCTTGTACACTCCTGCATCTTGTAGAGGAATATGACGACGGATGGTAAGAATTGACTAATCTTTTTCGGCGGCTTGTAGAATGTTCTAATAGAAGCTCGCTTCAAGATGTAGCCAATCTTGTCTGTGACACCTCTGACATATGGTAGTATAGCAGGCACACGCTCGACTGTGGCCGGCTTCACTCGGTCACTGTGACGGAGGCGCGGGACCCGAAGCTTGTTGTCGTGCAGAACGTCAAACAGGTTCTGCACGATGTTCTGCAGTTTGCGATCATATTCTAGATGGCCCCAACCATTACATCAGATTTGATAGACCACAAATCCTCGCGAAAGAACATCGATTCCTGCCAAGGATGATACGTGAGGCTATTGAAATTAAAAAACATCCTAATTTCAACAGAGAAGGAGGCTGGGTACTACCACCTGCTTGGGATCCTATAATTAATAAAATTAAAACTAAACCCAAGCATACCACTGCAAGACTTCAAAATACAGTTAGTTCATTCTGCGTAGATCGGACCAAAAACAATAATTAAAAAGCTGAAGGTACTCCGGGTTAACTTTGACATCGGGACGTCAGTCACCTCAGTCCCCCGTGACCATGGTTGCTGGAAAGCACCCGAAACGTCGGGTATTAAAATTAATATAAATAAAACGCGATAAAATCCGTAAAAGTAGTTTTAATCAACGTAATGTTGTTATCACGATAAGCATTGTGCATTGCTGCCGCCTGGCGGCGCTACGTGTATATAACGCAGGAAAAAGCTTAGCTACTAGGGAGCTATACCGTGAGAAAACCGCTCCAGTATTAGCTACTAAGGAGCTATACCGTGAGAAGACCGCTTCAGTATTTTCATTTATTAAAGGTGTAAAATAAGGATTTTAAGGATGTTTAATGTTTAATATGGCAAATATAAACTAGTTTTAATATCAGAAATGTGTAAAAACATTGTAAGGGATGATTTACCACAAAAATAAAAGAAATTTGTAAGTTTCCCTTAGAAAAGGTCGCCCTGCGCTCTGATTGGTCGACGGGAAATCATGAGTGCCGTGTGCAATACATTAGTGCCGTGTGCAAAATTCAACCATTGTGATTGGTCAATATTGCCTATAAAAAGGGACGTTTTTTGTGGTTAAGCATTCCAAATCCGGCTATGAAAGAATAAAACATTAAGGAAATAATCATCATCATCAACAGCTCATCCTATTTCTACTGCATGGTCTCCAGTTATCATCCCGCCAGCAAACCCGCTCCATTACTAACATACTCACACACGAGCATCAACATTGGTCCCATGCAACCCTTAACACCACTCCCCCCAACCCGCACCGTCGAAGCGTCAGTTCCTGACAAAGAAGAGAGTCATCCAACGCTGCAGATTCAAGAAAGAAGTATCGCAGTGAAAACACGTCTGAACGAGGGAAGCATACCAACGTCCAGAGAAAAGAGTCTGCAGCGGTCTCACCCTAAGAAGACGACCCGCGATCTAGGCACACATTCGCTTGTCGCATAGGAAGAGAGCAGAAGCGCAAGCGAAAATGACAATAGGCATTAAGGGAACTAGAACTGGCAGAAGCTCGGTCAAAAGTTGCTCAAGCGGAACTATAACTTCTTAATGCGGAGTCAGAAGAAGAAGATGGTGCCGGATAAGAACTGTTCGAACGAACTCGAGAAGTCGAGCGGTGGTTCATCCAGACCGGAGACATACCTAATAAAAACCACAAACCGATAGAGGCAGAAGAAAAGAAGATTGACATCCAGGAACTGGCTTCAGTCATACTTAAGTTATCCGAGAAGGCACGTGACGCCGTTTCACCGAAGCACCTCGAACTCCCTCACGAACGGAACCTGTGAAGAATGGTTGGCATTCAAGAGATCATAGGAGGATATGGCCGCTTCTTTCAGTAACAATCAGAATCTAGCGCGCCTTAGAATAGCGATCCAAGGAAAAGCTAGAGAAGCTGTCCAAAGCCTGCTGTTCACCGCCGAAGACCCACACGAAGTAATCAAGGGACTAGAAGCGAGATTCGGAAGACCTGGAGCACTGGAATTAGCAGAACTAGAGAAAATGAAGAACCTTCAAAAAGTCGGCGAGAATCCAAGCGACATATGCGTATTTGCAAGCAAAGTGAAGAACGCCGTCGAGAAAATCAAAGCCCTGAAGAAACCACAGTATCTCAGTTCCCCTGAAACACTGAGAGTTATAGTGGACAAGATGCCGACTTAAAGTTGACAATGAAGTTTCGTTGGTTCGCTTACCACAGAAGCAGAAGAGATGAAGAAATTCAGGAGCTATTACTCGTCGAAGCGTTCCTAGGGACAGAAGCCGACATGTGCGGAGAATTCGCTCCACCTCAAGCATCCTCAGAGCAAAAGAGAGGAATAAGAAAACCCGTTCATTTGGTACAAGAAGCGTCAAAAGAAAAATATAAGAAGTCATGTCCTTTCTGTGAAGAAGAACACTTCGCACTAGAATGCAAGAAGTTCAAAGAAGCTAACCTGAGTGGAAAATGGGATATGACCAAGAAGGCAAAGATATGCTTCAAGTGCCTCCGATTTAAGCACTCAAGAATCATCTGTAAAGCCCCAGTCTGCAAGCTGTGTAAAAGATGGCATCATACCATCTTGCATTCCGACAAACCACCAGCACCAATAGAAAAAGAAGCGAAGGAAAAAGATACCAGTAGCACGTCAGAAGAAAAGGTCGCCTCAATTCACAACGCCAAAGGAGAAGAGAAGGCCTACCTGAAGATGATCCCAGTGAACCTCTATGGCCCAAAAGGCCAAGTTCGCGTGTTAGCATTACTAGGCGAAGAGTC